GGGGGGAGGTAAATAAACGGTATCAGGGATAATTCTAATCTTTTAGCTTTACCATTGTGAGTTCATTTTACGTCAGGACTAAAAGTTATTCCTTTTATAATCTATTGCAAAAATATGATATCCCAAGCGTTGTCTTAGGATAGGGTAGTGTATTACCGTTTATAGCTTTTTTCCGTCTTCCCTTAGTTCAAAATATGTATAAGTTAAGGGCAACTGTTCGTTTAAGCAAAATTGCAAGATGTTTTACTTTACTTTATATGTCCGATACAGTTTTTCTTTTTTCTATATTGAAATAACTTATCTCACAAATTATCCTTTACTCTTTTGTTATTCAAATATCGTTACTTCTAAAGGTTTGATAGCTTATTAATGTTGTTGTTGATTCAACAAAATAATGGATCTTATTGCCGATGAAAATGGCATTCTTTTTCAACAACAGTATATCAAGGATATCGAGAATGAGCTCACTCCCAACTTCCCTATGGTGAAGGAACTAGGGAATCCACCAATTAAGCTCCCAGATTCCCAGAAACCCTATAGCAAGTTACTAACGAATGTTTTCAAAACTAACGTTATTGAAAATAGTAAGCCATCATTTTCTGTATTTCCGGAAACAGTACAGTTTTTTGATTTTGATCCAGGCCAGACATATACATCCAAAGTATCTGTTACAAATTGTACCAGTAGGCTTAGAAGAATTCGTGTTTTGCCTATTTCTCCCCAACATCGAATTTATTTTGCTTTAGATTCTAATGTCTCACCACCGATATCACCAGGATTGCAGTGGACTATAATCATTTCGTTTTCATCTAATACTTCTGAATTTGTCAGCGGTGAACTTGATTTGAAAGTGGACGATGGGTCACTTATAAAGATACTGCTAAAAGCAAGACCAAAACAACCAGAACTAAGCACAAACATTAACGAGATAGACTTTGGTACAGTTACGATAGGGGATTACAAAAAGAAGATCTTAAGTATTCGCAATCAAGGTTCGCTTTCTGGGAAGGTCAAAATATCCGGTACATTTGAAAATGTAATTAGAGAAACTCACACAGATCCTCTCACTAAAGAGGAAAAACGCTTCTTGTCGATTCTACCCAATGTATATAAGTTTGACGTTCTACCACAATCGGAAAGGAAAATTGAGCTAGAGTTTGCACCTCTCGAAAAATGTCAAATGTTGTGCAACATTTTTTTAGAGGGAAACTTTCTGAACAAGATGATAACCCTAAAGGCCAAATCAACTAATCTACCAGTTTTTGTCTCTAGCGGCGATATTGACTTTCACTGCTGCTTTTACGGAAGTGTTTATTCTACCAAAGTTGAGGTACAGAATACACTTTTGCTACCAACTATTGTGATAGCAAAGGTTCCGACACATTTCAAGGATGTTATTCGTTTTGAGCCTGCTTCTATTATAATTCAGCCTAATACCTCTCTTTCTTTCGACGTTTTGTTCACGCCATCCGTTGATCTTGGGTCTGACATTAACATCTTAGTGGAATTACATGCAAAGGAGCAATCAATTCCAGCAAGTGTACGTATCCTAGCTTCACTTACGCATCGTGGATTTTCTATCGATGAACGTAATATTAATATTGGAATGATGTTTATCAACGAAGAGAAATGTCACAATTTTTCAGCACAGAACCTTTCAGATTTACCTCAAGAGATCGAATGCACAAACTTACCTAAAAGCATTACAGTTATCCCACGAAAAGTGACATTATTACCAAAAGAAAGCTTTCAGTTTCAACTTTTCTTCAAGCCATTAAACGCAGAAAAGATCAATTCTCCTTTCAAACTTCGCAATAAATATGGAGACAGTGTCACTTTGAGGCTTTTTGGCTCTGCAATTGAGCCTGTGCTTTTCTTTTCAGAAAGCACAATATTTCTACCAGCATGTCCATTTGGGGGTTGTATTTCTGCATCAACAGTTTTGACCAATAACTCAGATGAATGCCAAGACTTTAACTTTAGCACACCATGCGAATTTTTATTTGTTTCTCCTTCAACAGGCGTTCTAAGACCTAGGGAGAGCGTACCCATTTTAGTTTTCTTTGAGCCCCGAAAGGCAGATTCAAAGAAAGAGGAGTTGGAAAAGATATTACCTTTGAATCTGCACAAACAAAAGTTGAATACATTAAAGAATTCTACAAATATTGTTTCTACTCCGTTATTATCTGATGATTTTTTATCCTTGTTTGGTAATTGGGATAAAAGCACAAGTTCTCGATTGGCTCGACATCGGATTATTAAAATTCAATGCACCTCGAATGAAGGACACGTTGAAAGTGTTTTTATTGTTATTCATTGTACTGTTATTTTCCCAGAAATTACTGTAGCTGAGACTACTAATGTTGAAAACGTTTTACCGAAACCAGTATATCAGCAACCTCCTACTAAACAGGTTCATGCAACAGGTTTGAATTCGTCTGGGATCGCTCATAAGCTAACGACATTATCCAAACCTATGGGCTGTAGTGTAAAACTCAACTTTAGCGAAGTTCCGATGGGTCAAGCAGTAACTAAATCATGCTTGATCAAAAATAATAGTGATATTCCAGTGAATTTTCAAATACAACCCTTTTCACCGATGTCGAATTTTAGCATTGTACGTCCGCCATCCGAGACCCTAGAACCAAATCAAGTTGATTATATATTCTTTCAGTTCAAGCCGAGAGAGTATGGTATCTTTTACGATGATGTAACCCTTTTCTGTGAGCTAAATAATTTGACAATCCAACTGAAGGGATTATGCACTGCGATTGATCTCTTTGTAACAACCGATTCGAATTTAACTGAGTCAAACAACCGAGAGGCCCCTGTCATCAACGAAATTGTATTTCCCCCTACACTTGTAGGTGATACATCACAAAGGTTACTTTACTTCCATAATCTTGGGAATTCTGTCGTTGATGTCTTGCTGGAATTTGCCAATGAATGCAATGATAACAAGGATTCAAGCATGTGTAATGAACCATTTGTATTTCAATTAACTGCGTTCACTGCCCCTCCTGGTTCAAAAACAGTAGTTGCAGCGCTTTTCTATCCTCAAAATGTAGGGAGATATTCCACCACTGTATGCGTAATTGCTGGAAAATTCAAAAAAACTATTGTGTTAAATGGTTGGAGCACTACCCGAAAGATTTATACCCGAAGCACTTTCAGTGACCACTTTGACTATGTTAATGGACGACGCGTTAGCCCTCTGAATCTCACCTTTGAGGGATCTTCTGAAGACTTCCCATTTGTACTCAATTTCACTGCAGGCGAAACAAAAAATCTGATATTTGGTAGCGTAAAGGGAGGGCCTTCCGCAGAGTGTGTAGTCAACGCTTTAGAGTCCTTTACTACCGATGGTTGGGTGGTTAGTGATCAAAAAATGACTGTTGCTTCTGGTAGTGAATCAATTATTTCTTTCACTTTAGGGTATCGCAAGCCATCAGATAATGTAAAGATGTGTTTCGGTAAGTATGCCATAAATATTAAGTGTCCAGCTGATCCATCGAATGATTGTACATTTTTTTACCATCTTGCTGCACGAGAATGATTCGTTTCAGTTTTCTCAATGTATTTAAGAATGTATCACTTTATTGTGAATATCCCTTTGGTAATCATAGGAAAAACAATAGATAGTGTTCTGATATCAGAAGGACTTTCTTTAAAAGCAAATGATTTTTTATTTATTTATGTCTTTGTAATCTCTTGATGGGGTGAAAAAGGGGAAAAGGTTTTACGTAACTAGATTTTTACTCATATTAGAAGAATATAAAACATTCAAGCATTTAAGAAGCTAATAACACAGATGTAGTACAGCTAATAGGGTTCCATTTTCTAAAGGTTACGACATCCTGGACCTGCTTTCTTTTTTTCGAAAGCATGTTACACATTACTATGCATTCTTTGGCAGCCTAAATGGGATGTAACTACAAATGGGTGATAACGTATTGTCAGATTGGTATCTGACGCACCCACGGTAGATTAAATTCGGCATCCTTTCCTTATTAAGAGAATCAGGCTTTGTGTAGGTGTATGGGTATAGTGATTCCTTATTATTCCTCAGTTTCAGTGGTAAAGATGAGAAATACTCAAGGCCTGGTTTTGAATAGTTTACATGTCCTTATGATAAAGAAAGTGAATGTTAGTATTATAGAGGTTTACCCTCAAGATTATTAACCCAAAGGATGAGGAATATTGCAAAATTTGAATTCAAGTTGCTGCATAGCTCTACAATTCACAACTCTATGAACCAATGTAAACTATAAATATGAAGAATAGATTTCATAATAACACTTCTTTGCTGATGTGCATAACAGCTTCAATATTGCACCAGATGATTGTTTGGGTTTGATTGTGTCTATGCTGTGTTACAATGTTATTTATGCCACAATGAATAAACACAGTGTTGCGGTTTTCTGTCTTGAATAATCCATCTCCAACTGCTCAAATGTGGGATAATTCAGTTAAAAAAGCTTTCTATTGATATTTTTCATGTGTAAATTATACTATATATTCTTGCTTTATGTTAGTAATATCATGAAGGATACCTTAACAGCTCTTCTACAGCTATATTAATATTATCCATTCATATTTTGGTCCTCCTTACTGTTGTTTTTTTCCCTTTCTATTAAATGGATTTGCACATGGAAGAAGATGAGCAGCTTCATTTATTTAATATTTGCTTTACTCTTTCATATTGAATCTTTTTTGTCTTTCTCTGCCTTTTTCCTTTCAAATTCCTGACACTAACTTCACCACTATCTACCAAAGAACAGCTTTAGGCTATCGTTTTCGAGCATGGCTATTTGCCGGTGGTTAAAATCGTGTGCGAGGCTTCCGGACGGAGTAGGATCAATGCCTAGGTATGCTACGAAACAAAGCGGTTGACTTGACGCACGATCAAAGTGTAGCACAAGAGGTGGATCTTTTGAACACCAAACACCCCCCTTCTCCGCGCCCAGTCCTACCTAACTATCAAGGATAAGGAGAAAAGAGGGGGATGGCCATCGTCTCCGCTGCTTTGTGGGCTCTGACGCATGGTGAATTGTAGTCCCTGCTAATAACGGCCTACCTCCATAGCATCCCACCCCTCCCTCCTCCATCCGCCCCCATTCACGCTGGCCTACCAAAACTGCCGTTGTATAGAAACCCATCGCTGTCATCGGTGACACAATTGTCACAGTGTCCGTTTTACGACAACCTAATATCCATCATCCCTCCCTTGTGACCTCAAAGGGCGCCGTGAGGCTCTACCTCGGGGAGGTCCACATGGCGTCCACGCATCGGACAGCCTTGTCATGGCCCCTGTTAGCAGCCCAGCCGCGCTTTCACAACCACATCCGCTACTCTTGGCCTGACGAAAGATGAGGGTAATCGTTCCTTGCCTAATATTGTGAAATCACATTTGTGTCGGTCATGGCGAATACAGCAACAATGATACTGATACATAGTCGGAATCACAGATAGACAATCTATAAAAAGGAGTCTCACTTTTTTTCCCCTTCATACGAATAATGAAAGGATATGCCATGATGTTGAGCTGTAGAGGTGTTGTTTATTATGAATACACCAAACGCGTTTATGTTTATTGTTAGTTTGTGTTTCATTGGTTTAAAAGATAGATCTTTTCGAGAAATAAGCTTGTTTATATATAGTATAATATTGCTTATAGCGCATCGATCTTATATGATTTTATTTCGATAAGGCTGTTTTGCTTTATATCTTCCCTTGGCATGATATAAAATGTGCGACGGCGTATAATGGAAGCAATTCTGAAAGTTTAATTAGGTCTTTTACGAATGAACGCTGAAAAAGAATATTGACTTACTTTTCAAGTACTTTTGAGACGAGTGACAGTTAAATTATTGGATCTTATATCTTTTTTTCACCTCTTTTTACTATACATTTCTTCGATTTCGTCTTTTTTTCTCACTTTTCACTCTAGACCCCTAAATTTTGTCTACTTTACAACTCTAATTATTTTATCCTATTTCCCTTTTTCCTCAAAATGTAGATGGCAACAATTACATGTTCATATGACAATACAGCATACTAATAATATATAGATATATAATATTCGGATATGAAAGTAGTACTTAAGCAGTTTAATCTTTAAGCCTAAAATTGTCATAGTATTATTCTTATTTTTAATATATGGGTGAATTGCTGCATTATTTCTGTTTAATTGTACTGAAAAGCAATTAGCAGGATTTCGTACGTAATTCTTTCTTTAGAAACCTTCATACTATGAAAGTTTGAGTTTTGCACTGTTGGAAATTTGTAGCGGATGCTTGTACGAGTATTATATATATATATATATATATGAATATTTGTGGATAAACCATTTCACTTTTGGAAGTAGGGATCTACTGATTCAAAATAATAAAAAACCCGAAAAGTTTCAAGTTAAAGTTAAGCAAAACAATTTCGCTTCCTGTTTCCTTTTTTTCGGAGGTGCAAAATTATTTTTCACCTTTTTAAGTGATTGCCATTATAACCTTATGTAGCAAACAAAAAAAAATGGGGTTAAATGTTTTTATAGTCTAAACCAAAGCATAAAAATCAATAAACATGCAAGCCGTGTAAGTTTACTGTAGATAGATGCAGGATAAAGGGATAGGTGAGGAAACTATCCTGTTATTACTGTTGTTACTTCCTTTTATTAGCGTATCAATGATTTCTTATCGAAGTTGCACTATTTCTATGGGGAAAATATCGATATAGAATAAGTAACCAGATGAATAGCGTACAGAATCGATTGTGTGGCTTGATAAAAAGAGCATGACCAGTCATTTATGCAAAAGGTACTTATGAGGTTGTTTCTTTCTTTTGTTTTAAAGAAAGCATAAATGAACATTGAAACGACGCATAATGTTCCACTTTTAATATTTTTGATTGATATGCACACGTAATTAATCAGTTGAATCTGGAAGGGTTTCATTTGAGTTTTATTTAACTCTGAATTCACACCTTTTCTCATTTTTAAAACTGAAGCTCGAAAACGAGACTCATTTTATCGTATTCATTTACTTGCTTTATATAATCTATAATGTGGGAAAAGAAGACCCAATGGTGATCGATCGACTTATTTGGAGGTGATGCTTGTTTCTCCTTTTTTTAATCTTCATTTCAACGGATATTAAGTATTGCTTTAATCGGAGTCAAAGATTGCACAAAAGAACGCGTACGCATTTACCTTTTTTTTCTTATCCGTAGTGGAGTTCTACGACTACTCATTACCCACACATTTCCGCTTACCTGCCTTGAAGTGACCTTGCGGGTTGAACGATATGTATTCCAACTCGTACTCGCAACGGACGCCCCCACCCCCACCCTCCACGGTGGATCTGGATGAGCTTTTTGGCGACGGTAACCGATGCCCCACCCACTCCCCGTTTTCCGCACCCCGACCCCCTTACCCACCGGCCCAACCCCCCGTAGCGGCCCCATACCCCTACACCGGGACTAGTGGGCTCCCGCCACCACCCTATCAGGACGCGGCCCCCCACCCCCCCACGGCCATCTCGCGCCTTTATTGGAAATGACTGCCGCACCATACTCGGGGTCCTACCCCCCGCCACGGCCTGCTACCGTGGAGCCCCTTGCGATGGCCTCGGCGTGGGCCTCGGCGAATCCCCCGTCCACCCTCCCCCCTCCCTCGCAGGCAAACGGGTACCCGAAGCCGTACTTCCCCCCCCCGCCGCCCTCGGCCCCATCCCCCGCCCAGGCCCTTTCAAAGGAGGAGGAGGACCGGGCGCAGTTGGAGAAGATTATCCGTCTACGCCGCGAGCTCGAGCGGGAGCAGGAGCGGGAGCAGCAGACGTTGCGCGAGTTGCACACCTGGGGATGCGTCGAATGTACCTATCGTAATGAGTTGGATCGAACGGAGTGTGAGATGTGCGGTATGGGACGGCCAGGCCTCGTGAAACGGAATTCCACACCCATAGCCACTGCAAGGAGGAATGAACCGACTGCTATACATACCTCCCTTCCTTCGCAAGCTCCAGGGCCGATGACAGCTTGGCAGTGCGATATCTGTCTTGCCCCGAACGAGGCCACTAGAGAGAGGTGCAAGATGTGTAGCGCTTTCCGTAAAAATGGAATCCCTCCCAGGGCTACCTATGAAAACTTGTCGAATCGAGTTTGTCAGCAAACTACGGCTGCCAAAGCTACCGTTACGTTACACACCAAATGGCGCTGCAGCATCTGCGCAACCATTAACGAGTTCTCGTGCTCGAACTGCACGGCCTGTAATAGCTACCAACGTAATGGTATTCCGCTTACAGAAGAAGGCAATGCTGCCATGGGTTCTTCAGCCGGTGGTGGTGGTGCGTACAGCACGAATAGCCTTGCTGACTCAGCATCGACATTGCCTACCAATTGGGCATGCTCAGTATGCAGTTTAGAAAATCCAGTAAGCGTAGCAGTATGCAAAGCGTGTGAAAGTGGGCAGCGGCCACGCCACTTGGCCCCAAAGGACACATCAAAAAACAAGTTTTCTGCGTCGACCACCGCTTCGACAGGTCTACAGGGCAAAAATGAGTTCTCAGGGAGAGAATCTAATCGAGCTGGCCCCACTGAGTGGCCATGCTCGACTTGCACCTTTGTGAACCGCATTGAGTTAAACAAGTGTGATATGTGCGGCGACACACGCCCACAGAAGTACGGCCTATCCGCAACGGAAACTAGCAAGCAGAATAAAAATCGTGAGGAAGAAAGCGATGAGGATGAAGTACAGTGGCAAGAGAACCACGTGGCTAAGGTGTGCAATCGATGCCAAAATGAATTTGGGTTAATGCGGCGCCGCCATCATTGTCGTATATGCGGCTACGTTTTCTGTGCGACGTGTTCGCCATTTCTTATAGTACTAAAGAAAGGCTCAGAGCCAGTGCGCGCGTGTGCTCAATGTTACGAAGCTAGAAAAGAGAAAGGGTGAGCTTTGACTTTTTATTGCGTATTTATGATTTTTTATAGGGGGAGGAAGGAGAGGGAGATACAATTGATGAACTTATGCATCCATTTAAAGGATACCTCTAACAATATGGTAGAAATAAGAAAAACTTCTAACATCAGTATTGATTAAACAGAAAACACAAATAAAATAGAATAATATCAAAATGAAAAATTTCTTGAACGAGTATTCGTTGGCAAAAGGGTTTAGTCAAAGAAAACATTTTATTCGTAAAAGAATATATAAAGCATTTTCTGCTTTTTTTTTTTTTACAAAGAGTCTTTTGCAGCAAAATGTCTGATTCGTGCTCTGTTTACTTTTCCTTATTCTTTGTGAGACTGTTTTATAACTTTTTATTACCCTCTATTGTTGAGGACCAGACAAAAAAAAAGGAAATGCTGAAAATAAATATGTATTTATATTAATAGTATGACCTCGAAAATTAGTAATAGAGAACATTTTTTTTTATTTTATAAAAGCTGAGCCCCTCCTCCCTTTTCCTTCCCTATATTTAGTGTAAATAATCGTTGCTTGAAGGTGCATTATTAAATTCAAAGGATAATATTCTGTCCTCATACTTATTTTATTTATCATTTTATGAAAATGAGAATATATAAAAAAGGGACCAAGAGTATTGTATTTATTTGTGCTTCCATTTAATTTAATCTCCTTCATCAATATTTCCCCCCACACTCTTTATTTTTGTGGAAGATCACATATTTTATTATTTAATTTATTTTCATTAGGCGTATATTTCTAAATCATTTGTCTGCTTGGATTAATGAAATCAACTGCGGAATCACCACACAAAAAGGAGAACGGCGAAGAGAGCATGAGCATGGGTGAACCTTATAAGCCAGATGAAGAACTACAGGCGATGGAAGCTTACCTTAACTCCCATCCTAAGAGCAGTTTTGTCAACAGGTACCCAATTCCACTATATGCTCAACCAGACCAATTGTACCTTGAGAATTGTGTGCTGCCTCTGCTATTGTGTGGGCTTCGGGAACTTGCTAAGATACAGCCCCCGGACCCATTGGGATTCTTGGGGGCTTACCTGCTCTCCAACAACCCACAGCGTGCGAATAGTGCTGCCTCTAATACTGATTTGCCATTCTTTCCCGAACGACGTAATTCTAAAAAAGACGAGATGGAGGCTAGTGTTTCCATGCAAGCGATTTCCTCATCAGGTAATTCAGCCGTCCCTCTACGGGGACGGTTAGCACATACCGCTGCATCTAAGTTTGCCTCATCCACGCGGCTGGACGCTTAAAGATTTAGTGAAAGAGTTTGAGCGGTGAAAAATCTAGAGAAGATCACAACTAAATTACTGTAAATTCCTATTTTTTTTGATATTTTGCTACTGATGTAATACATGGTGTTTATATACACTTCTGAACTTTTACAATATATATATATCTGTGTGTGTGCCCCTTGTAAACAAAATATTCTTTGGGAAAGAATGGACATGTTGAGGTATTTATACACATTTATTAACCAGAAGTGTAAAATAAATGTGTTTTATCAAAAAACAGCAGTAATACAATTAGAATATCTTAGATTTTACTCACTCTTTCTTTTAGAAATTATTGCTTGACTTTGCAGTGCAATACATGCACGAGTATGTAAATTAACAAACAAATTTATCTCTCTATGTTAGTGTGGGTACCCAATAAATAAAGAGAGAGGTGGGAGTGGTATTAGCCCTCTAGCGCTTTAAAACGCACAGAACCCTGCTTTCTTTTTGCCCCCTTTTTTTGAGCGCAACAAATAGAGTATATTAAACTCATTGCAACTATTTTTGTTGTGCAGTTTATTGAGAAAAATCTAACAGTACTTATCTAATTGTAGTATTTATTTTCATAAAAATGATCAAAGAGGGGGAAATGATTTCTTATAGTGATGATGATTACAAGCGTGGTCTGAAGGATGCCGAACGACACCACCAAAACACGAATAAAAATTGGATTCGTCCTACATTTGGGCCGTTGGTTTGGTTTGGCCTGCCGTTGGTGATTTCGTGGATGTACTTGCGCCGCACCTCATTTCCCAAGGCATCCGCCACCTCGAATGGGAATATGTTTTCCGACATTATGGAGCAGATGATGCCGATCAAGAAGCGCCAATTTCGAGTTGACGTCAAAGGAACGAAATTTGAAGACGTGATTGGCATTCCAGAGGCGAAAGAGGAGGTCTATCAGTACGTTAACTTCCTCACTAATCCAAACCGCTTTACGCGGCTGGGGGCTCGCCTGCCCAAGGGCTGCCTGCTTACCGGGGAACCCGGCACCGGCAAGACCTTACTTGCCAAAGCGGTGGCGAACGAGGCGAAGGTTCCCTTTTTCAGCTGTAATGGTGCGGATTTTATCGAACTAATGGGAGGAAGTGGTCCTAAGCGGGTCCGCGAGCTCTTTTCCGAGGCCCGCGAGGCCGCCCCCTCCATTATCTTTATCGATGAGCTCGACGCGATTGGCTCCCGCGGCGGCAAGACCGGCGGCAGCGTCAGCAGCGAAGAGAACCGAACGATCAACCAGCTTCTCGCCGAGCTGGATGGGCTTCGCACGAGTTCCGACCCCATCGTCGTCCTCGCCGCGACGAACTTTCAGGACAACATCGACAAGGCCCTGTTGCGAGAAGGGAGGTTTGATCGCAAAATCGCGATCGAGATGCCCGACCTTCAGGCGCGGCGGGAGCTTTTTGCGCACTACCTAAGCCGGATTTGCACCGGCGACCCGCAGGGCCGCCAGACGGACGCCGCCGGCGCCCCCCTCCCCCTTGACCCCGCCGTCCGCAACGCCGATCTGGCGGTGG